CCCCCGCCCCCGGGCGTCGGAAGAGACCCCCAGACGCTCCATCGGCGTCTGAACGCCAGAAGACAGCCGCAGGAGTCTTCTCCAGCCTCCCAGCGCGGATGGCTGGCTTGCCCAGGATGAGCCCACAGGTAGCTAGATTGGGGGGTTACTTTACTGTTGCAAGAGGTCAAGCCCCACACTGAGCTGCCTGGTCCCACAATTCAGCTCAGCCCAGCCCACCTCACCTCCCAAAGTAGTACCAGCTGACTCCATGCAGCAAACAGGCGCCCTCACCTCCTCCTAATAACACAACCTGCTGAGCAGGGAGAAGATGAGGTTTATTACCAAACAGCTTCCAGGAGTGAAGCCAGTCAGGACAGGAAGGAGAGATCCTGGCTCCGAAGGCGGTGGAAGGCCAGGCAGGGGCACCACCCAGAAGGAAAACCGGTGCTGAGTGCCTGTAGTTGCAATGGGGCCCCTGCTTCCTAGGATCCAGCGGAGAGGAGGCCTCTCGGGACCAGCAGAACCCAAGGCGCTCCCCAGGATCCTGCCACAGCTGCGCTACACAGGAGGAGGGGTCCCTGCCTTCCTTCCCCGCCCCCTCATATGGCTGCCATCTGGTTCCACCACAGCTTGAGAGCAGCCTCAGAGGCTTGTGCAAACTCCTGCTGAGAATCCACTCTGTGGCCCGGCCTCCCATCACCTGGCCCTCAAGCTCTCCCCCCTCTCAGTAGACAATGCACAGTCCCACAAGGAAAAGTTCACATTCAGGCATTCTCCTCTTCACATAGGGTCGTTCCTGTTTGATCAGAGGAACTTGAAAATCTAAACTGATCAAAATTGGGGGCGGGGAAGGGTGAGCAGACAGGTTCGTCCTCTTTCCTGGTGCAGGTGTGTGCACCCCTCCTTCCCCTAACGCAGTAAAAACCCCAGCGGTGGCTCCCATTGAGGCAAGGAGAAAGTGGCCACATAGTCCTCCGATGTGCAGAAACAGATCCGCTCTGCCACAGACCCGCAGGGTTGAAGCAGCTGCCATACAGGAAGGGGTCATGCGGGGCAGGGGGAGACAGGAGGCGCCAGGTCAGCAGACCGTCGGCTCTGCCACTGGCCAACCCTCCCGAAGGAAGAGGCTGCCCAGTGGATGGACGGCTGGCTGGCCTGCAGCTGACGGGAGGGGTGGCGCTACAGCAGCAACTCTTAGTGTAATGGTGGGAAATGGGATGCAGCCCACTGCTCTCTTTTCATGCTCACTGGCAGAGAAGCACAGGAAGGCTCAGCTGTTGCAACGGGGTGTGCTAAGCGTCTGGTGACACCACGCCTGGACACAAGCCAGCACTGCCCCAGTGCCACTAGACCTGCAGGGCCGCACATATGCTAGCGGGTGCTGGAGCCACCCGAAGCTGTATGCACACCCCTCTCCCAAATATTGCATGAGGTAGCCCCGGGGCGTGGTGCCAGTTTCCCTTCTGCAGTCCTCCGAAGAGCAGCGAGGCAGGCGTCATCCAGGTGAGGAGGTGCAGGGAGGCGCAGTCCCACTGGCCCCCCGCCGGGAGCTCCGCTACTTCTGGAGGGATGGCCCCTGCAGGGTCTGCACGTAGGAGAGGGCGCTCTGCAGGGAGGTCAGGCAGTAGCCCTCCTCCCCGATCAGGTAGCTGGGTGGAAAAAGGGAACCTGTCAGCCCCAGCCAGGAGGAAGCATTGCTGAGAATCATCTTCAGAGGAACAGTTCTCCCCCTCCCTCTGCTGAGCCTCTCCCCTCCTCTCCCCCCAACTGTACGTAACCGGCAGAAGAAAGTCTTTTTTCGGCCCCGTCATCACACACAGGGAATGTGCCACTGCTTCAGGAGCCCTCAGAAATTTGCAGAGGGCAGCTAATGCCGGATGCTCAGAGACAGGGCTGCTAGGCAGAGGGCAGGGTGAGCTGCCTGCTTCCCGTCCTGCCTGGGGCTTCCGCCTGGCCCCTGCAAAGTTAGGTGGACATTTGCCACGCCAAAGGATCCCGCACCTACCCTTCGTGGATGAATTCTTCCAGAGCGGCACACTCGGAGACCAACTGGGATAGGCTGCTCTTGAGGACCACAAAGGAGAGGATGGGCAAGAGGTCATCCGCACCGCTGCGAGGAGAAGGCAGACCAAGTCAGCCCGGTCCCTTCGCTCAGCAGCCAGTCGGTGGCTGCGTGATGGTGGCAGCACCACCAGGGGGTCATGCACCACTGCCCGTTTCAGGACACAATCTGCCCAGTGAGGCTTGAGCCACATCAGGGAAGTGGCAGAGATGGCTTTGGAGCCAGGCATCCCCTCCAAACAGGATGCCTGCGGGCAGGGTACTCACATGGCAGCGGATGCTGGCTGGAGCCAGCTGCCACAGTATTCCTCCGCACATTCACAGATGACCCGCAAGGTCCGCACTGCCAAGCAGAAAAGGCAGGGGGTGGGTGAGCAAGACCACAGCGCACAGGTCTATGCACAAGAGGGACTGTGCCACCTTCCTTCACGCTCCCAAATCCCACAAATATGTCTTCCTTCTCTGATCTCTGGGGCTGGAGGGCAGGCAAGCGGACTCACGTGCAGGAAGTCTGGTCCCAGCCCACACTTGGGGAAGGGAAAGGTTTCAGCCCCGAAGAGCCGGTAACCTTGGACCAGAGAGACAGACAAGTTCTGCTGGAATACGCTGGTTCTCGGGTCGCTTTTTCTGGCCAAACTTCCAGCTTCCTCTGAATGGTGGGCAACATGCCCACCTGCACAGGCTGCACATGAGGAAGGGCTGTAAAGGCAGAGCCTCTTTTTTGTGGGTAGGTGGTCCCAGGCTGGAAACCCTCCTGGGGAGCCTGAGAGCAGCTTTGTCAGCACAGAAAAGCAGAGCCCGGGGGCAGATGGCCAGGCCGCTAAAGCAGCCCCTCCTCCTCCTCCCAGCCTCTCCAGCTTTGTGCCCACCAAGCCCAACCCCTCAGTCGCTAGCCATCTTGGGCACCCTCTGAGGACTATGGGAATCGTTCTCTACCAGGCCTGGAGGGCACCGAATGGGGAAAGTCTGCTCTCAAGTTGAGGCCTCTCCCACGCCTCGTGCAGCATTCTCCTCCTCAGATTCGTGCCCGTCTCCATCCAGAGGCGCCCTGAATCCTCCCGCCTCTCCAGCCAAGCAGGCTGGTCTTTCCCTCTCAATTAGGTTAGGAAGTCCAGCGTTCCGGAGGGGGCGAGGCCAGAAAAAGGTGCTCGGACACCACGTGGGGTACTGGAAATGCTGTCAGGGCAGCTGAAGCCTGGCGCGTCTCTCTGAAGTGCTGAACTGAACACGGGGGAGGAGTTTCTAAGGTTCCCCCCAACCCCCAGAGCAGAGGTGCTTCCAGTTCCCATCTGGATTCCCGCCTGGCCACAAGCCTCCCAGCTGGGCCTCCTGGGGCTCCTGGCCTCACCTATGCACTCCAGCTTCCTCTGCGGGCAGCTGCTGAGCGGGAGGAGCAGCAGCTCCTGCACAGCCGCGCAGTAAGGGGGAGGCCCTTCCCCTGTGGGCAGCCTGCCCTGGGGAAGCAGCTTGGAGGGGATGCCCATCTCTGCTGGCGAGGTCTTCCTGTGCAGCTCCATGATCCTGGAAAGAGCCTCCTCCTGGGCCTGGTAAACAATCCTGAGGACGCAGAGAAGAGGGGGGCTGAGCAGACCACGCCAGGGAGGAGGCCGGTTCTGTCCCTTTCATTCACCCACAAACCAGTCCCAGCTCACTCCAAGTCACGAGACATTCCTTGCCAGGGGAAATAGGGGGGGAGCTTTCTGCCTCTTCCTTGCCCAGCAGCCCCTAGGCTCAACTCCCCCAACTTAACCTTTTTCCACAGCGCCAGCTGATCCTCTGCCAAGATGCAGAGGGCAAAGAGGATGTTGGTTGGACCAGTCCTACCTGTACACAGCCAAGAGGGGCCCCCAGAGTGGGCCAAAGAAGGCTTCCTCCAGCCGCGCCAGGCACTGATCCTTGGCGGCCGCCGTGTTGAGGCCTTCGAAAGCCAGCAGCATCAGGGACAGCAGTCTGTCTGCAGAGAGAAAGGAGCCCGCCTCCATCAGCACGAGCCTCTACGGAGAAGGGCTCCACCCAGAGAGACCCACGATCCTTTTTCCAGTTGTTAAGGGAGCAGGACAGACCCAGCAGAAGATGGCGAGGGGGTCTTCCATGGATTTGCCTGCAAGCTAGATTTCCCCCACCACCAGACCAGACCAGACCAGTCCCGCTGTGGCTGCCCACGCAGGGACCTCACCGATGGAGTTGTGAATGTCCTTCACTATTGCCTTGAGGGCCTCTTGTTGGGAGCCCTTCTTCCCAGCTAGGGGATCTTGCAAGGGCCCTGCTGCCCGGGCTTCGGAGGCTGACAAGAATTGCTCCAGGTCTTCGAAGGAGCTCTCCCGGTCAGCCAATGGGGAGGACACACATTCTTCTTGGGGGGGAAGCAGCAGGCTCTGGTCCTCAATGAAGGGGGTGCCAGAGATGCTATGCCGGAGGTTCAGCTTGTTGTGTTCCTGGACAGAAAACACTGAGTGCAGGCTTTGGGACGAGCGCAACCTCCGTCCCTCGGTGGCCGATGGCCGGAAGGGCTCTGCATCCAGCGAGGAGGAGAGAGACCCGCCACGGGAGACATCTGCGGCGCTCTGGCTGACAAGAGGATAGACGCGATTGTAGACCGAGCACTGCAGCTTCTTCAGCAGCTGGCAGATGGGATGATCTGCAAAGCTGGAGTCAAGGAAGGGGGACCGTTACCGAACCTGGCTGGGGGTCCGCCCCCTCGGGAGACTGGGCAGCAGGGATGAGCTGCTCCTTTTCCACTTGCTCTCTCTGCAGGGGCTGCTATTCTGTGCAGAGGAGGAACGGACATACCGAAACATCTTCCCACGCTTCTGAAGGACACTCGGGCAAAGCCCTAGCAGCTGAATGTCTTTCTGTCCCACGAGCCAACTCAAAGCATGCTAAGGGGAGGGGACCCATGAGAGTTCTTGAAATTATGGCCCCCACTTCCCCTTGGTCTCATCCCCCACGGGGGGGGGGAGGTGTATTTGTGCATTTTGCCTGAAGCCTCCTTGCAGATCGGAGGGCTTCAAAAGGGGACCTCTCAGCCCCACACCTCTTCTTTACCTGAGCAGGTGGGAGAGAAGCTTTGGCACCAAGGACAGGTCACTGGGGTGCTCCTTCAGCTGGGCCTTCCACAACCTTGGCCAGTCCTGCAGGGGAGAGCAGAGAACACCCCCCGCCCTCTGCGTCAGGGCTTGACCCAGCCAGAGAGGGGGCACAAGGGATATCTGCAGGGTTAGGAGCATCTTACAGGTAGTCCTTGGTTAATGATGATAACTGGGACCGGAATTTCCATTGCTAAGCGATGTGGTTGTAAAGCATGACATCACTTCACAGCGTTGCTTAGTGACAGCAATCCCGGCACTCCCCACTGCTGTCATTAAGCAAGGATTGCAGGTCGTTAAGCAAGTCCCAAGCAGCTGGCAGGCAGCTAAGGCATGGCACGTGGCACAGTGGGGCCAGGGCAGGCGGGAGAGGGTGCAAGCGACTTACTGGAGTGACCTGCAGTCTTCCCTGCTGGCTTTGCCATTGACTGCTTGTGGGAAGCTGGCAGGGAAGGTTGCAAATGGTGATCATGTGACTATGGGGGTGCTGCAACGGCCAGAATTTTGAGGACCTGTCACAAGTCACCTTTTTCAGAACCATTGTGAATTCGAACAGTTGCTGAATGAGCAATCAGTAAGCGAGGACTACCTGTACAATAAACGTGGCCCTATTCACCTTCCTTTAATGTTGGGCCCCCCACCGAGCTACAGCCCTCCCCTCCTCCTCCACCTCCCTCAGCTGGTCCAATAAAGCCGCATCCTTCCCAGTCTGCCTCTTGGAGACCCGCTGGCTCTGCACGCTCCGAGCCCTTTACGTACGTGGTCCTGCTCGTACTCCAGGATGGCAGCGTAGATGGCCCGCTGCTCCTGCTCTTCTGGGGTCAGCACTGCATTGCTGGAGAACCTCCTGAGGGATGGAGGGAGACGGGCTCAGAGGAGGACCTGACGCACCATCCCTTGCCACTGGGCAGAGCGAAGGGGGCGAGGCAGCCCAGCCCAAGCTCACTCGCCTGTTGGCAGCTTCCTGCAACCGCAGCCGATGCTCCTCCATCTTCCTCTGGAGCTGGGGGAGCAGAGTCAAGGTCCTCCCCCGGACAGCCCCCCAGGCCCTCTGGCCAGATGGGCTGCGTGTTCCCAGCAAGGCAAACGGCAAGGCGGCTGGAGAAACTCCAGCCCTGCTCAGGTGGGGAGAAGCCCCAACGGCAGCCGGCCTGCACAGCGGAAGTCACAGCCCAGCAGAGCTAGAGATGTGGGGAGAGAAAAGGCTCCTGGAGGCGCAGTCAGGAGCCACGCAGGGAAAGCTTGGGGGTCCCTTTAGCCTGGCACGAGAAAAGCATCTGACGCCTTTTCAGTATTTAAAAAGGGTGGGCACAATTTGCGGTGGGCAGGGGGCCTGACAATGGCCACTAGCCATCCAAGGGCGATGGAAGCCACACACACACACACTCATTCTCCTGGTGGCTGGCAGCCCAGAGCCACCGCCAGAAGAGGGACGCTGACCCAGCTCTCCTCTGCCCTGCCGCAAGTCTCTCTCACAAGGTTTGCTGGATCCTTTTTCTGTCTTTAGCTGAAACCAAAATTAATGCGTTCTAGCAGACGGGGCCCCTTCCCCTGTGGGCTACAAAGAAGCCGCACTGTCATTTCTTGGCCTCATCCTGGGGAGTGAGAAAGCCTGTTCTCCTTGGGAGTAGCTCTCTCCTAAAAGCTGCTGGCCAAGAGTTCCTCTGACCACCGCAAATCTTCCTTCCTTCGGGGCAGATAAATGGCACACCACACTTAGCCGGCCTCCCTCATTTTACTTTCTGTTTTCCCCTTTGAGCAGAGACGCAGATGCAGGCCAGAGAGCTCATGCCAAGAGGTGGGTTCTCCCTGGCTCTACCCGCACCCAACTAACCCGTCAAGACGTCTGCTGGGGCTGAAAGGGAGAAATGACAAAGGACCAGCTGGCTGCCGGCTGCCGGGACAGCCAAAGAAACCAGAGGTGGCAGGACCTAGCTAATCTTGGCTGATCCCCCCAAAGTTAAGCAGGATGGGGATCTTGGATGGGAAACCACCAGGGGATCCCACGTCTGTAGCCTAGTCTTCTCTGGGTTTGCCAGGAAAACGTCGGAGCTGAGGTCAACGTGGGGGAGTTCCTACTTCCTTCGAAAGGATACCGCCTCTTCCCGGGCTTCTGCGATCACCAAATTCTCCATCATCTGACGTTGTAGAGAAAGCGTCTGTTGAGCAAAAACAGCAATAAAGCAACAGCCCACCGGGCTAAACGGAGGGAACGGAGGATGAAGGAAAAAAAGAACGTGCCACCAGCCAACCCATCTTTGTTTCAAAAGGGGCGACGAAGGCTCCTGAAGTCGCCCCCCCTCCAAGAAAACACCTGGGCCACACTGCCTGGCTCACCACACAGGGCCCCCAGAGCCGCAGAGACCCATCTTCCCGGGCTGGCTCCACTTGCCAGAGAGGTCTTCTGCACTGCTTGGCTGGGGTTCAGCCGGGCCAGTCGGGCCTCGTAGGTGGCTCTCAGCTTTTGGTTTTGCAGCGACGCCTCCTCCAGCGGGCTGAGCTCTCTGCTGCAGAAGAGGAAGCAGCAGCTCCTTCAGGGGCTACCCCATCTTGCCCAGCCCAAGGCAGCGGGCCCGGGAGCCCAGCCCCCCCGCCGCACAAAGGCCCTCCGTGCCCCTCTTACTTCCTGGGGCTCTGCACTTCAGTGATCTGCAGCTTTTGGAACATCTCAGGAGGCAGGAAAGGCGACAGCTTCCTGCCTTCATCAGAGGAGACTCGGCGGTGCCGGGAGACAGGAGCAGGGCCCACCTTCTTCTCCACCACCAGCCTGGCCTTTGCTTTTCCTGGAATTGGGGAATTAAGAAAAACAAAGGCCCATTTTGGCCAGAGCAAGCATCTCAGGACTCACTGGGGGGCAAGACAGGCCAAAGGGCAGGCCAGAGAAGAGGTGTTGGAAACGGGCTCCTTCCTCGGCCAAGAGAGCACGAGCGCTGCCTCTCACAGCGGGAGGACCAGGCAGCCGGAGGGACAAATCTTCCGGCCTGATGCAGCTCCCAACGTTCGCACGGGAATGCAGAGCACGCTCTAATCGCTAAATGTGCTGTCCCCTGCTGAGGACAGCGCATGGGCTTCAGCAAAACGCGAGGGTAGCATTTCAGATTGCACGTTTGCCCAATTAAAAAAAACAATCTACAGTGGATGCATTCCAAACTGATTGTGGCCAATCTTGAAAAACTAAGCAGGGTCAGGCCTGGTTAGTAATTAGATGGGAGACTAACAGGACACCCAAAGGGCATTAGGCTGGCCTGGAAAACTGAAAAACACCCTGGAGGAAGGCAATGAGAAACCGTTGCCAAGAAAGTAACACGAGGGGGTCGGGGGAGCCCTCGGGAGTCCATGTCAACTTAAAGGAAACTCTACCTTAAAATCACTGACTTCTGTTCAGCTGTTTTAAAACACGATTGGAACAAAATACCTAAAAACCAAGAAGTCTGGCCTGCACGAGAACTGCAGGAAACCGTGTTAGTTAACTCCTACTGAGAAATGTTTATGAACTTGTTGCAATATTTCCAGCCCACCCTATTTCACAGATCTCAGGGTGGGGTGAAATCCGTCAGTCTGGTCCAACAGCATCACTCTAAAGCAGTGTTCTCAACCTTGGCCGCTTGGAGATGTGTGGACTTCAGCTCCCAAAATCCTCATGCTGGCTGGGGAATTCTGGGCGTTGAAGGCCACACATCTCCAAGCGCCCAAGGTTGAGAACACTGCTCTAAAGCTTCTCTAGCAAAGACACTGAAACCCATTCCGTGACATACGGACTTACATAAATGGCCAGGCTTCAATCTAGTGCTGAAATAAAATCATCCCCTGCCCAGATGGTTTTCTTAAGAGTGTTAAACAACAAGCAGTCTTGAACACACCCCAGAGGTCATTATCCCACACTGGGTGGAAGGGAAATACAGAAGCTGAGGCTTGGAAGAACACCCTCTGGGAGATGTCGGACTCCTTTTGCATGGAGAACATTAGGTCAAGCGAGGAGGCAAGGCAGTGTCCAGGTGGCTGGATGGGACACAGCACCATTTCTAACCCCAGGAGGGCAGCGATGCTCATCTTGAGCACCACTTAGAGAGGATGCTCACACCAAGGAGTGGGACCAACTGGCTCCTTCATGTCTGGAACCATCTTCTCGACAGACAATTTTCCTTTCTTTTCAATACAGAACCATATCAGAAGACAACCTCACCACCTTCAAAAGAAGTGACACATTTCAGGATTATACCAGCTCATTCTGCTGCAGATCCCGGTGAAGCGGGTAAGATTTTCTTCTGGAGCAGCCTGCTTGATAAAAGATACGTGTGTGTGTGTGTGTGTGTGTTTATAAAAGCAAACGGTGCTCACCTATTTTAGAAATGCTGCTCTTGGCTCTTTCCAGGCACTGCTCCGCTACTTTGAGCATCTTGGGAGTATCAGCCGCCACATCATTTTCATCCCCTTCGGGACAAGGAATGTGTGATTGCGTCTGTCCAATTACAAGGGGATGCAAAACCCACCTCAAAAAGACTTCCAAGAGACTTCGGTGCCAACCATCTTCTCCATCTGCCTGGCAGGATTTAGCCACTCCATGAACCCCTCCCCCAGTGGGGCTGCCCAGCTCCAGGAAAAGCAACTTCTGCCAATCATTGCTCCAAGAAGAGCAGGCAGCAAGCATCTGATGGGTCTACTCCTATGGACGCTTTGGGCCGTCATTCTCACAAGAGCTGAATTCAGGCAGCTCGAGATTCGAGTGGCAAAACATGCCTTTTCCTGAACCAGCCTCGCCGCCAAGGAGACCGTGGGGGGGGGGGTGATTGGGGGGGTCTTGAGAGGGGCAGGGCCAAGCGCAGAAGCTTCAAAGGAAATTATCTTGAGATATTTAACTAACCCTGTCAAGGTTACTTGTGGTGGAAATGCCCCCACATAGGGGGGTTTACATGACTTCCATTTTGTTGTCCTGAAGACACCAGCAACAAGGCTCACTTTCCATCCGTGCCTGCAAATGTGCCCATCTATTTATTAAGATCCCACCGTTCCTCTTGGAGCTCAGGGCCCTGGGCAGGGAGGACGGGGAAAAGCAGGAGTTACCAGTCATGGCGGCAGCCTCTTCCAGGAGGACCTGGGCAATGTAACTGATGCTCTTTAAGTATTCCACGTAGGCTTCCTGCCAAGGAGAAAAGTTCCACGGGGTGAAAAGGCAACCCTGTCCTTAGGACCAGCCTAACGTTGGGCTGCCCTGGGCAGACAGCTCTCATGACGCAGGAGGCCTGCTTCATCTGCCCTCCCAGGAGAGGTCAAAGCGTGGGTTACTGCACTGGCACCCCGTCCAATTTGGGCCAGGACAAAGCAGAAAACCAGGCCCCTTTCTGGGAGAGGCGCCGACGGAACCCGGTGTTTGCAAGCAAGACCTGCCAAGGTGCTTGGCTGGTGCCCTGCCCCATGCCACTCGCAAGGGATCCTAATACAGCTTGGACCACAGCGACTGCTTGCACATCGGAGCCCAGGCTGTGCATGCAGAAGGCCAAAGGGTTTGTCCCCAGCACCTCCGGGGAGGTGGGGAAACAGCCTGGCCTGGGGGTGACCTCGGCCCCAGGCTGGCAGGGCCCCACACACTCGGGGAAGGCCGCCTTTTGATCCGCCCTTTCCAGCCCTTCTGCCCAGAGGGCGAGCAGGAGGGCGACCGGGAGCGCCTTCCCCACTGAAGGCTCAGGGTTCCAACTCTCCGGGCAACGCGGCCCAGGGGAGTTCAAGTCCGAAACACACGAAGGGTGCCAGAGGCAGAAGGCGGGAGAAAGGTTCGGCCGGCCCCAGACTGCGCCCACCCGGGTCGGCTGTGCGAGAAAGGCCCCCTGCCGCCCTCCCCTCCCCTCCCCTCCCCTCCC